TTGATTCAGGATGAGAGTGTGAGCTTCAGCGAATAACAGCTGGTGTGACCAGATTCCTTTTCATGGATATCGGGCAGAGATTGCCAGTTACGGGATGGCTGATCTGTGGACTCTTCTTCGAATAGAAAAATCCACCCTGAGCTGATCCTCTATGTAGCCTAGCGCATGGAAAATCTTAATCGATGGTTATGAGGAAAGACAAGTGGTCTCATCGTGGGTGCGCTCGGCGCGAACAGCGATGCCACCGCATTTGAGGGGGCGGCGCGGCGGAGGGCAAGAGCGCGAAGACGAACAGAGCGCTGCGTCGCAGCGTGGCTCATCCCCTGCTATAGTTGTACTGTGTAAACTTGTGAGGCTTGTGGTTGGTATGAGAGATTTTTGGAATTTCTCAGTGAAGTTTATTTCGTTTAGAACAGGTTTGATGAAGAGTCCTCGTGCCCAATTTTCCATTCGGCACATGCACGCATCGCTTGCCGAATAAAACGCAGCGAGCATCATTTCCAACTCTACGCTTGAAGTGGCTCTCATTGAAGAAATAAGATAACGTCGCACAAGCGCTCGCACCTACGCATACCTTTCAAGATGCTTCTTGAGTTTGTTGAACATGATAAGGACGCTAGATCCGATTATTTCAAACCTCCATTTTGTCAAGCAAGTAGAACCGCAACAAATGTAGAAAGAGAGGCGTGTTATAATTTATGGTTTCGTTTCAGGGCCCTCAAATAGGCTCACGCGTCATTTACTGAAACAGCATGAGAAGTGAGTCTAAATTATTCTTGCAGTATGTTACTTAGCAGTCTTCACATTGTTCTGAATACTCATAAATGTATGCGAAAATTGACCGAGATAGCTTGCTCGGATGAGAACTGAATTCGTAAACTTAGTTCGTAGATTTATAGAAACGAACTGCGATTCCTAGCCCCTGGTTTTGGCAATTATTGGGACCCTCGTGACTGAGTGGGAGCAGCTGTCATAAATATTTCATAATCATTACTGGAAACACTAACTGCAACATCCCCGTACTTCCTGAGAACGAAAGAGCCCTGGTGATGTCTGTACCATGAGTGCAAAACCAAAAAGACCCTGGTGGGACTCGAACCCACAATCTTCGGATCCGGAGTCCGACGCCTTCTCCATTAGGCCACAGGACCACATGATCTTGGTCAAATCGATGTCGCCTAAGGCTATGACCGAAGCTATTGTACTGTGGGCGGATCTGTTTATGGGAGGTATTTGCGCAGCGCGCGCATGCCATTTGCGACACCTGCGTAAGTGAAGCCGACGCTTTTGCGAGCAATTGTTCTCATGTCACAGTGCGTTGCCTCCCTCTTTTTTTCTGACTTAGCACTTTCAAAAACTTCATGCAGACTTGCAACTGCTACGCTTGTTATTCATGCATTCACTACTACCTACATTCAATGGCATGATGAGGCTGTAGGTCTTTGATGGTGTATAACATCCTTAACAAGCGCAATTCAACCAGCAATCTCTTTTTCCAGGTGAACTTATTCAGGACTAGACAGGACGGGCTCAAGCGTTGTTTTAGGATACTTCGGTCATGTACAGGGCGCACATTTTCAAATTTTCCAGTTAGTGTTGAGTACGAAAGAATGTGCAGGACCGTCTAGAACAAGGCCTCCTTCAGCAAATTCAGAAGCCCGCGCCTATTACCTGCACGGCCTAAATTGAGTTATTTGCTATTGCCGGTACTTTCAGTTTTTTGACGTTGATGACCGTGTGGTACGATGTCATACCACACTTCCACACTTCTTGAGGCAGACTAGTTCTCTTGAAGCAACAGTCTCGGCAGGGTGGGCGTGATTGAAACGGCTGCAATGCCCTCGGCCGATTCCCATCCAGCACACTTCGAAGCTGTTCAACCCCTACTCAAGAATTGTGACTGAACAAAAACTCGCCTTGGAAAGCCGCTAGAAATGGAGCTGAACCGCTTCGAAATGTGCGTGGTCGAAATCGGTCGAGGAGATTGTAGCCGACCCACCCACGCCCACCGTGCTGAGGCTGTTGCTTTAAGTTATTTCGCGTTATTTCCTGTACATTATTGGATCCACAAAACAATTTTTTTTCATTGCTGATAATGAAAACGCTAAAGAAATAATGCCTATTGATGATAGAATACGAAAATGTTGAAGCAGTACGCGCGCAATGGCGATCGCCAACGTGCTAATCGTCCTGATGATTGCAATTTCAGTTCTTCTTTTCTCATTTAACATGTCGTTTAACATGTGATAAACCAATCAACTTACTTACGCAATATTCGTGACGTTACTCTTGCAGCGTTTGTCATTTCTCAGGATTTCTTCATTTCTCTTTACACTGCTTTTGAATTCTCAAAGATTTTCAAATTGAAACTGTCATTCAGATGTGCTCCACCAGATGGTGTCGTGGTGATCACTCACGAGATGGAGCTCGTTCATATCCATACCGTTGATGAACTCAAACAAACAATGATTGTCCTCGTCTATGTCGTTGAGGTCATTCAGCCATCGGTACAATTTTAATTATTGCTAAACATTTCAGCATGAGATCTTTCAGGAGTGGGACGATCCTACTCTGAGTTGGGATCCGACGAATTTCTCGGGCCTTCGAGTTACGTGGCTCCCAGAAGAGGCTATCTGGGTGCCAGACATCATCGTCTTCAATATGTTAGTCTCTTCTTCTTCTTCTTCTCCCTAGCGTTAGTCCCGCGCAGTCGCAGGGTCCGCTGTTTTTGTCAGTCGTCGCCATTCTCCTATTAGGTTAGAAAGAAAGTCCCGCAACACTGATTTTCAAGTTTTCATTTATTTCGAAAATACGTGGGTAACAGTTATGATCAACAATTGGAGAGCATTCCCGAAGCTCCCACCTACTCGGCGGATATACTAGGTGTTGCAATCAGTAGTTATACAGGAAAGTCCGAAAACTTCGACCACTAGTCCAATAGTCATTTCGTTCCGCTTCGTTCGCATTTACATACCAGCGCTTTCAATCATTTGATGTTTCTTGAGGAGGCTAGAAGCGCCTCGCATTCTTCATCACAGATATCACCGACAGAGGCACCATTAAGAGGTAGAGGTCCACCTCGCAGAACTCCAAAAGTTGGCTAGGCATCTCGTCAAAAGCACTCACACCGCTACAATGTTTATTCCTACATAAAATTGCGAATTTCCAGGGTCTGAAATGAACCCGTTAAGAAAATCTGGAGATTTTCCACCTCACCCACCGTATTCCTCTGCTCTTCGAAGGGCTACCACCTATTCCGGACCCCTAATATAATTCTCGTGATGAACTATTATGTCGACCAATTTCACTTCGTGAGCAGGGCCGCCTGCTTCTTTGATCCGCACCGTTTTGGAAAAGGAGCACCAAGAAATTCTCTGAGCGTTGGAGACAACTGGGAACACACAAACACTCATAGATACACAAGTAGTCGAGATTTGTAACGAAAAAAATGAAATTAAATCCAAATAGGCAGAATGCGTTAGAACATTCTTTCCAGCTTAGTATTATTCTCGAATTAGGTGGCCGCAAAATGTGCAAGAGGTGTGAGTTATTCTTCAGATAAGAATATTTACAGCATTTATATTACTGACAGATCACGTTTTCTTGAAAAGCTGGGGAAATTCCGGGTGCGACTGTTCTAGCCTCGA